AACATGCTGACAGAGAAACAGAAATTGAATGGTCAATGGCTGCTCTGGTTCATTCAAAGCTCCCACTCCCAGGCCTCACATACACCACTGAATTCCAGCCAAATGTGACATTTACATGAATTAGTCCAATTGCTTTGTAAGGTGTCAAATAATTACATGCATACAGTTAAAATAGCCTATTGTGTCTTCCTAGGTATTATATCTGAAAGAAGAATGTAATTAATTTTGCTTAAACAATGTTTGCAGTACATCATTCACTTACTTTCAAGTCTGTTCTAGCACAGACAAAATTAGAACCATAAAACAGAAACACAATTATTCACCATTTTTATGTTATCAAATGTCTTAACTGCAGATTCCATTAGTGAGGCAAGCAGTGTATCTACTGCTGTAACTACAATTAATCCTACCAGGCTATAAATGAAATTCTAGACTTATGCCCAAATCCTAGAGCTATGCAGCAGGAAATTATTAGAAAGCCAAAACACACATACATGGAAAGGCAAAGGAACAGTGCTCAGGGAAACTTCCCACAGAGGCTCTGATCTGTGAGACCACAGACATTTCTTTTTAGAAAAACTTATCTAAACCAAAACTTATCTAAACCATCCTGCTTTAAAATTCAGAAACATCTCTATCATAAAGTAGCAGCCTCTATCAAACCCTGCTGCACTGCTTATGCAAGATACACTTCAACCTAGGATTTCATTGTTACAATTTTTTCTTGGAATGTAAAATTACACACATATTAAGATGTCTTTCATGCATTGTACTCACTTGTGTAGTCACTGAGTGTATATAAAATTGTGATAAGGTTATCTAAACAAGGCCAGTGATCAGGATTACACCTGAGCCCTTCTTCAAAAGCATGACGAGCCAAGGGTAGGCGGATCAGTTTTATTGCCACACGACCAATTTTATACCAGAGATTGACATCAGTGGAGTCCAGCATTACAGCCTAGAAAGCACAACAAACAGTATTATCCAGATTTCAGACATGCATACCCCACTTTGCTGCAGGGATTGGCACTGCTTTAGCTTTCAGCAGGATCACAGCTGCTTTGGGGACTGAATGGTGGACCAATTTTATCCCATATAGCATCAGAATGAATACAGTATCCAACTATACACTGACATGATGTATGCTGCATGTGTATGTCTGTATTTTAGAAATTTTTACAAACATTAAGGCTCCAGTGTCTAATTTCAGCTGCACTGTACCTCCAGATAGAACTCCATGGCTGTCTCTAAGTCATCCCGCTGTGCTGCCAGTTGTGCCAGGTTTTTATAGGTGGAATATTTTAACATCAAACCCGGGTGTTTCAGCCCTTCCTTCTCATCACCAGAAAGAACTGCCTAGAAATTATAAAATAAATGCAATATGGGCATTAGGAATCAGACAAGTAACAAGAAAAGCACACAACTTGCTAATAAATAATACTGACATTTCTAGTTAGCCAGTTAGAAAGGAAGTAAGACAAAATATAGCAAACAGTTTCTAGAGTGTCATTCTCTCAAGGTCACTGACCTCTCGCAGAAGACGAATCTCAAGTAGCTCATGATAAGCTTTAGCAGACTCTTCAAATCTGTCATGTTTCTGAAGGTCCAAAGCTTTATGGTACAAAGCAAAAGCTTCTGCTTCCTGGGATTTAAATAATTAGAATGTATTTATTAAGACAACTTAATTAAATGTATTTGTTATGTATTTCAGTGGTTTCACACTTTTAATACTTTCTGCTATATACAGAACATTTGTATTACTGTCCTAAATAATTCATTGGAGTCAAGTTTTAGTTTGCTAAAGGAGATTTCAAGAGATAGAGTAACTAAACTTTCATAAAAACAAAATATCGTGGTTGAACAAATCCCTGCAACTAGAGGACAAAACTCCCATCAAGACAAAACTTCATTATGAAAATTGTGGAATTACCTACCTGAGCTTCCTTGGTCTGTGTCTTATGACTTTTAAAGGTACCTTCATAGTCATCCTCAACTGTGGAGCTCGCATTCAGTGCTGCAATTCGAATCTGGAATGACAATTGAGATGTGACAAGAAATCTACATCCACATATCTCCCAGTTTCCTTTGAAAACTGGATTTTTCTCTTTTCTTAAATTAATGGGTACACAAACAATACTGAGAGATTTCTACATAAAGTTACAAAAGCTGTAATTCATTTAATCATCCCTAAAAGCAAATAAGCAACTATCAAAACCATTTCCCACCTAAAATCAGCTGAACAAAGCAAATTTCAAGTGTCTTGCAAGCAAGAGCTTTCCTAGAATAGACATGTACATTACAGTGGTATTTTTCCAAATTCTTAAATTTACCAATTACTACAATCAGTCCAAAAATAATGTTCTCATTATGGCAATTTCTTCTTAATCCCAGGGAAAGAGAAAATCCTCAATTTTATTTCTACCAAAACACCTCAAAAGCCTTCTCAAAAAGCCCTTACCATGTTTACAACTATTCACAACGTCTTTCTCCAGGAATAGAAGGAAGAGTCTATCACAAACAGGTCTGGAAAGCAAACAGGATTAGAATGTTTATTCTGTTCACAAAGAAAACATTCAGAAGAAAAAGACAAGCTGGGAATACTTTACAAGCATACTTTAATAACCAATTAACCACCACCCCATGCCAAGAGATAGACAGCCCAACCACTGAGGAACAATATTTCCACTGAGGAATAATTCCCATTACTGCCATCCCTGCTAGAACAGAACAGTGTTTGTACCACAATTGTTCTGAGTATACTGACCAACCTCTACAGACAGCCTTAATGCAAAAACAAGTTATAGCTACTGCAGACAGACTTAGAACTACTAGATGAATGCAAATAGAAGAAACTGAACTTTTATTAACTAGCATTTTTTCATTCTGAAAAAGGATACTCATATTTCCAGTCCTTTTTACCACTGACGAAAAGTTTGCAGGGGTAAATACACCTTTATGACCTGTAAGTAATTTTTCCTCCTAAGCCCATAATTTATATTCAATTAACAGCTTGAAACACCGTGTTAGTGAAGGCAAAAATATACGAAAGAGCTCTGTGCTGCTTTTATAGAAAACCTTCACTGCTGTACAATAAAACCTTCCCATCAACTCAAACAAGATGACATATGCAAGACAGGCTAAAAACAGTCTTTAATATGGGAGACTACATTAATAGAAGAGTAAGTCCAGAATTAACCACAGCAGGAAGCAGTGGGAGTTTTGAACTATAAGCTGAATTAACTCATACATCATCATGATTAGTTCTGCATGTAGAGAAAATAATGCCTTGCCAGGAATTTCACTCATTCAGCAATGAGCATTTGCTTGCCCGTGCACCACTGGCTCTCCTCACTTGTAGTTAAATCAAACTGACAACTGCACAGCAATAAAGCATTTTTCTCTTTAAAGTCACCAGATAAACATTAATAAAACCTCAAATCGCCTTCAGGACAGATTCCTTGTCTACTTTTCACATGAAGAAAATACATGCATGGAGAATAATGGTTACCTCTTTCAGGTAGACTGAATGTTTCACATTTGGACAGGGTGTAGATGCCTATGACATTTAAGAACATCAGTCTGTATGGTCCCAAATCAATTACATATTTAAGTTGATGGGGTTTAAGTTCACTTACAAAAATGCAGTAATATGCCCAAGTCCTTCGCTGAATCCAAATAATCTTGCTCAAGGTGGCAGAGGAAGTCAACAGCAGAGACTAAAGTCAAGACTTTACTTCCGAGGTTAGACTCTTGGGGAAACTGCAACCACAGAAAATGTGGGAAATCAATTTCAGTTCTACTCATTATTTATACTGGAAACTTGTAACACACAGGAACTTAGTAACAACCACTTAGCATCTCTCCTGCCTGCTGTTGACAGGTTGAAAGCACAGAAGTTAATAGGACTGTGAGGTGCTGCTAGAAAAGAAGGGCAGGGTGCTGCCCCCACACAGCTTTTGCACGGGTGTTATTTCATTTTTGTTTAAACCAGGCACTGTACATGGCTGCAAAACTCCCCTGGCTGTGGAGGGAGTTACACCAGTGCCACAGCATTTAGGAACTGAGTATGTCACTACAAACACTTCCAGAGGAATACAGCTACATGAGATAAGCAGGCAAAAAATAATTACTCTATCATATTAACTATTACAAACCAGTTTGTATTCTTTCAGATACAAGACTGGCACAGCTATAAATCTACAGCTACAACAGGTGTGCACATCCTGAAAGGCAACAAGCCTTTTGCTTTCAAAACATTCTCTCCTTTTACCTCAGTAGTTCAAAGTTTAAGTAAATATTCCCAATGTCAGTTCTTGGTCCCAGAGCTTGTGTTCTCAACTTCTAAGCAAGAAACAAAGGAAGCGACTTGGGCTTTCCCAGCCCTTGTTGGGATCCATACATTGCAGATGCACGTTTAAAAAAAAAAAACAAAACCACTTGTTTTTTGTTTTGGATTTCTTTTTTTTTTTTTAACATTGCAAAGATCCGCCTCTCTTCAGCACAAGCCGTTTTTACCGAAACACGATCACTTTCTGCACGGAGGGGCAGGGACACACGCCGCTCGCCCGGAGGGCGGCACACACGGCCGGGAGGAGGCAGGAGTCCACCTTCGCCTCCGACCGCGGCTCCGCGGAGGGAGGGGCGCGGCCGAGGCCGCCCAGGCCGGGCTCTCGCTACCCTCACCGGGCAGGGCCCAAACGCCGGCTGCCCCTCCGCGGGGCCGGGCGGATGGGACACTCACCTCGCGGGGCCGCCCCCGGCATGCCGGCGCTGCTCCCGGGGAGGTTCCCGGGAGGGTTCCCGGGGCGGTCCCACGGGCTCCCGGCGCGGGTCCCTCAGGCTCCCGCCGCTCCCCCGGGAGCCGCGCACCGGCGGTTTCCACCGCAACAGCCTCCGGAGCCACGGCGCCAACAAGGCCGCGCCTCATTGGCCGAGCCGCCCTTCCGCAGGCAGCCAATGGGAGCGCCGAGCACTGGGAGGTGCGGGGGGCGCGGCGCTGAGGGCGCTCGCAGGTCACGGAGCACCGGGAGCGGTTCGGTGCAAAGGAGCTCCGGGGACAGCGGCACAGTGGGGAATGAGCACCACCGTATAGACCTGACCACGTCCAGGCTTTCGTTAAACGCTTCCAGGGGCGGCGACTCCACCACTTCCCTGAGCAGGACGGTCTAATGTCTTAATCAGTTTTTCTGAGGAGAAAGTCCTCCCAATATCCAGTCTAAACCTCCCCTGGCGCAGCTTAAGACTCTGATTGCTCCAACAACAAAAGTACCAGGACAGCAAAGTCATGCTGGCCATTACCTCCCCTGGGCAGCCAGGTATCTGCACCTGAAACACTGGGTCCAGGTGTTTTCCTTCCTATGGAAAAGCGTCACGGTTCCCTTTCAGGGATCCACCACCGAAATTTGGGTACCGCCTCCAAGAATTAATACATCCAAGGATTGATCCCACTCAAAAGCTGTCAGGACAGAAAGGTGTTTCCTGTACTTCTGGGCAGTCTTGTCTGACCCATTGACACTGGGAACATGAGCATTCCTTCCCAAGGAAACGTCATCTTCTTCCATCAGCCCAGCTCCAAAATGTGGAGCTCATCTTCCAAATTGAATATGTCGGGGGATTTCTCACAGAAAAACAGTGCAAGGGCAGAAAGCAGTTCCTTGCCTTCTCAACCCTCAAACACCCTAACACCTGCACAAACAGTGCTGGGCTGAGCTGTTTTCCTTCACAAAGTAAAGGCAGTCTTTCTCTTTTTGCAGCCCATCCGCAAAATTTGGATTCCAGCGCCAGAAATTAGTAGGTCTAAAGACTGCTTTTGCTCAACAGGTGAGTGAATATCAAATGTTCTGCCCCAGGAGCTTCAGATGCAGCTTGTGTGAGGTGTGTGGGCAAAACCCTGAATGTGTGTGGATCTCTGGAAGTCAGCCCAAGGCCACGGAGTTTCCCTAAAGCTTGCCATGGGGCTAGCTGGAGATGGGAACACACTTCTGTGCCCTGGGATCAGGGGCAAGTGAAGCCCAGCACTGCTGAGACAGCTCTGTGTGTAAATTACTTTATTTAAGTGTAAGGTGGTCAGACAGCAGCGAATGTCAGAGAGCAGATGTGCCTTCAGCAGCCCCACAGAGACCTCAGCACAGTCCAAGAACATGCCAGACTAGCACAGAACCTCACCTTTCAATACTCCTGTTGCTACAACACATCACATCACTCTGATGAAGGTAAGCTTGTGCTCAAGCACTGCACTGAATCACCACTTGGCACTGTGAGGAAGAGCCCTCTTCATCTCAAATGTACCATTTGTATTAATGCCCTTCTTTCCACCATGACACACCAAGCACAGGGCTGCTGTGAGCAGCAGCATCACACTCTGCTGTGTTTGGAGAGTAACTTACAAAGCTATCACAACCCTGCAGTACTTTTCTGTCAGTGGTGCCCAGCATCATCCTGAGGGCCTCTCTGCTCCTCTCTGGAGTAAATACACAGAAAGATTGTCCAAAGTCCAAAGGTTTGAGGCTAGGAAGTGGTTACTCAGTGTTCAAAAACAGGGCATTGCCTCTCAATTTAAACATATGCCTATACAGCATTCTCAAACAACAGAAGCACTTTGGGGAGCAGAAATATTTGTTAACCTTAGGAGGTTGAGCCTGGGAAGTTACAACAGTAAAAAATCAACCACAGCTGGGAGATATAAACTCCAGATGTCAGGCAGGCTCCACAGGGACCATCTGCATGTAGCATTCAAGGGAAAGGGATTTTATGTCACTGCTGAACCATAGATAAGGATGGTGTACCTGATTTCCTGATTTCCTCCAACCTGACGTGTGAAAAACATTTCCTGCTTCTGTTGGTTGATGTGTTCTGGGGGAGTGTTCCAGGGGCCTGCACAATCCCTTTGCAGGTTATCCTTCTTGAGTCCCAAAATACCACTCAAACCTACTCCAACTAGCTCTGTGAAGTAAAAAATTAGCCATTTCTTCAGATCTAAGAAAGATTTCTTCAGATGTAAGAAAGATGAACTTTCTTACATCTTCTTGCTCAGCTCTGCAGTAGTGGGGAAGTTGTTCCAAGGCAGAAAGCCACACTGGAAGCAGCCAAGGGTGAGGAAAGCACAGAGCCTGCACAAATCCCCAGGTGGCCAACATGGCCCAAAACCAAGAGAGCTGGGGCCCAGGGCTGAGCAGGTTTTCTCTGAAGGAAACAAAGGCTTTGGCAAGTTTGTGGTTGTTACTTCAGGAGGCAGAAAGACCTCCAGGAAATGAACCATCTACAGATCAGCATTAAAGTCAGATTATTTTCTGCATTTCAGAATATTCACCTCAAGCTGGTGCAAAGCCAGGGCCATCCACCCCCTTCTCTGCAACACAACACTGCTTAGTCAATGTTCTCAGACTCAGTTCACCTACCTGTCAGCTGCCTGAGTTTCAAAAACTCTTGATTGAAAAGACCTTCTGAGAAAGTGGAGAGGCCTTGGGCAGCCACAATGTCTGACTCCAAGCACTAAGACGTACAAAGCTCCAATGCTGTGAGCCAGTAGACTGACACCAAAACAATCTTTGCTACAGTTTATTAACCAGAACAGCCTGATACATAAATTTGTGTTTGGTATTATATTCCTGTCAGATTTGTCAAACAGAAGTTATTTATGGTGTATAGGGAACAAACAACTTTTAAATGGTAATTAGAAATTTTAAATGGTAATTAGAAGATACCTCAAGCCATAAACAAATAAAACTCCATTTAGAGTGGAGGACAGCCTTGTGTTCTCATGGACCCCATGTCCCAGGGATGTGCTCTCAGCTCTGCTGAGCTCCCTGACCTCCACCTGACCAAGTCACAAAGTGTAAGGGAACTGATAAATGTTTTTATTAGCAGCAGAAAGCAGAGGCAACATTGTACACAAAACGTACCCTGCTTTTGTTTCAATAAAATGCCCTTTGTTTTCTAGTTATAAAATGAGGGAGTACATGGGTCCTAAAAACCCAAAACGCTTCTCTGCAAGGACACTGAGCCAGAAACATCAGACATAGATCACAGTGAGATGCTGAATCACCCCAAAACTCCCTATAACAGTGAGGAAAAGGACTCTGAACAAACAGTGAATAATAGGAATTAAAACTGGCAGTAGCAGAAACTTCAAAATATTTTCTGGTGGCACAGTGCAGGTCTTCAGAAGTGACCTGTCCTCCAGACACTGCCATCAGCAGACAGACATTGAGCCCTGAAAACCTTCTGAACAAGTAACACTTTGTAGGAGCAGTCACAGGAGGTGGCAGTGGCAGGGCAAAGAGCACAAGATCTGACATGAGCCTTCAATACCTAAACTTCTCTCCCAATAATCACCTCTCTTTCCAGAAAGGGCTTTCAGAGGAGCCTGAAAAAGAAAAGAATTTGGCTTCCAGGTCATCTCTGCTGGCCTGAGACAATTTTGATGACATAGAGAAACGGAAAAACAAGGAATTTTTCTGCCTTGCAAACTATGAGAAAAACTAGATAAACCTCAGAACCTCTCTGGTCCTCAGTAAAGCCAAATGTTCTAGAATTAAACTTTTTACTGCTACAAGCAGCTTTGTCTAGGCCTGAGCTTGAGACAAAGACTTTGAACTATTTCAGTAAAATCAGTACAGTTGATTGCCTCACTCTTGAGCTTCGTGTGTACAGGATGCAAAGACAAAAGTGGATCAAGCTACACAGATTTGATCACAAGAAGAAACAAGCAGATAGACAGAGCTGATCATCTGTGGGTTGCCTTCATCGCTGCTTTGTTCTGGCCAGCCGCTCCAAGGGTCACAGGAATGTCATGACTGTCTTGTTCTTGCCGATCTTGTCATGACTGTCTTGTTCTTGCCGATCTGCCAGGGCTCCAGTGGGAAAAAGCGGATGACAATCCTTTTGGGTATAAGAGCAAAAATGTGGTCAGGAAACATTATTTTATAATTAAATATTATAAAATATTTAAATTTTAATATATAAAACTGTTGCCCAGTTTGCAACATAAGAGAAAATCTGCACTAGGGTCTCACTGTCTTACACTTCAGGGGGTTCATTTAAAAGAAGGAAGCATAAGCTGTGTATGGTCAGGGTAGAAACAGACTTCTCAAAGGCACTCTGCATTTCAACACTTTAAATGTGATACTGATTCATTTTAGAAGGAAGCACATAGTGCATAATCTTGCCAGGGATTTATCCTGACAGTATCCAAGAGGCAGGGAACTACTACCATCACTCTTCTTTGGGAAGATGGGTAGGACAAGCAGAGATGGACATGGCTGACCTTCAGGAACAGCCTTGTTCCAGCATTTGCCAGGGTGAAGCTCTGAGAAGCTCTACCCATTCTGGTTGGGTTTCACCCTAATCTCACCAACTGTACCTGCTGGTCTTCAGAGAACAGTAATGCCCAGACTGTTCAACAAGTGCATACAGTCTGTGGTTTCATCTAGTTCCAAACCACGTGTCTGGAATTCAGCATCCACGAGCACTTAGTGTCTGCAATCTCGTCTTGAATCTGTATTACAACTTGGTCTCCTGGCGAACATGGGAACTGCCACTATCTCCTCTACTCTGAACATCCCCTCGGTACTTGTGGTATTCCATATCCACGGACCGCACGGAGCTGCAGGCCCGATGGGAGGACGCCCTCGCTGCCCTTGGGGTGATCACGGTGCCCCCGGGCTGAGCCCGCCGGGCCGCACTCACCGCTCGGGGCCGAGGCCCAGCTTCGCCGTCAGGAAGTCGAAGAAGCGGGCGCTGTGCTGCTTGTTCTGCTCCGCCGTGCCCACCACGCCGATGGAGGAGACGACCAGCTGGGCGCAGGGTTCGGCCGAGCCCGACAGCACCATGGCCAGCCCGGTCCGCACCGTCACGTTCACCCGCTGCCGGGACAGGCACCGTCAGCCCCGGCCNCGGGGCGGGCTCAGCCCCGAGCGGCCCCGCCACCGCCCCGCTTACTCCGCCTCAGCCCCGCTGCCTGCCCGGCCTTTGGGATCCACCATGGCCATTGCTGGGGTGTGCATTAGCGGCTGTGAGAACAAAACCATCGCGTCTCTCACTCGTGGGTAAAATAAGTTTTGTGAAGGCCTTACTGCCAGTGGAAAACCATTTCAGGTCACTACAACGGACACCTCTGTGCAGGGAGGGTTGAGAATAGAAGCGCGGTAATTACCCGGAATGACCAACACTACAAGAAATTAAAAAGCAAGCAGAGAGGTTACTGCTTTATCCAACCTCTATTAATTACAAGGACTTTGAGCAATCAGGACTTTGAGCTCCCAAGTTGGTAAGTGACCTCGGCAGGCTGGCCCACAGGGATGGTCTAATCTACAGATCAGAGGTGTCTAAACCAGAGATCAGAGGCTTCTCAGAAGCTGAGCTACTGTTCAGTGAGGTTCCATGAGCTCCTTCACAGCAAAGGCTTATGAACCAGCTATACTAAAAGATCATCATTTAAGGCACAAAACTGTTGGGAAAATTTGCCTTGTGTAATGTGACATGTTGGTTTTCTGTAATTCTAGGCAATGCTGATGAAAACTGATGAAATTGCTCATGTTTTTTGCTTAGGGAATTGCTTGGCCTTCACTGCTGCTAGTGAAAACAATACTAGCACAAAGAGTCGTGTGCAAAAGACAGCCAGGAATAAGGCTGGGAAAAGATTTCTAAGACAGAGTAGTATCTAGAACTGAAACCTTGGTGAAAAACACCATGAGAAAAACAACAGGTTTTTTAGAACTTGCCAGTAAAAAATGTCACTAGCCAAGACTTAGTCTTGACAAGGCAGCACTGCAGAAAAAAAACAAAAAAGCAGTTATTTGATTAGTGAAAGAAGCAATGCCTGAATTCCATTACTCATTTTGTTTTACAGGAAGAATTTTTTGGCAAGGATTTTAGGGTAAGGGCAACAATTACTTATAAATGGAAATATACAGATATATATATTCCACCAATTTCTGCATCCTTTACAATTTGTTATTTTCAGCTGAAGAAACTGGAAATGGTTGGATTTGCTCAGTTTTACCTCATAAATTGTGCTGCAATACAAAAGGATTTTGTATTTGAGCTATAACTGGGCAGAGACAAACAGCCAAGAAAAAGAGCCCAAAAGCTCCAAAACAACTCTTTGCCCTTTTATTGTGATGCATGTGTTGCTCAATGCCACAAAATCTCTCTCTTATTACTTCAGCTGCACAGGGTGACTTACTTGGTGAACATCCATCCAAAACTGTCTCAGAAGAGCACGTCTGCATTTATTCCCTCTCTGCATTTCCTAGGAGAAATGTGGATTGCTATTACAGTATTACCATAGAAAAAAAACCAATTTGTGCACTGTTATATTTTCTTTCATGAAAACACTGTGAATGCATTCTTTCAGGGTACTCCTTATATAATATTAACACAGTATTTAAGGTAGGCAGTTATTCCAAGGCTGTGGCCACCAGCAGCATGGATCTCCAAGAACAGCTGCTGCCACACGTGTACTGGTAGAGCACCAACAGAACCCAGGCTTTCAGAAATCCAAAGCAGCAGTTAAACTGAAGAATTATAAAGATTCACAGCTGTAGATGAATACAAAGAAATTTATCAAAGGAGCTTCAAAGGAAAAAGAAGTGTGGAATGTACATGGACAGCCAAGCAACATGCCTCAGCAATAAGAAACTTTTAAAATTTATTTTTTTCACTTTTGTGAAGTAGTTTTGTGCTCTACTTCTCTGTGCAGACATGCTGGGAAGATGAGGATCAGGCACACTTTGCAGGACAAATGTTAAAATTGAAAACAATGATCCTCATCCTATTCAGTTCTTTAATGTTCCCAATTTATAGGCTGGCTTGAATTCTGTCAGGAAATACCATTCTTGTCTCTATCATCTCTGAGAAGACTGACACTGAAATGAAATTCAGATGCACGTTGAGTGACCTGTAGGACCTCAGCCTTCTGTTTAAATTTAACATTTTTAGGTCTTAAACTTTCCTCAGTTTCCACCCCAAAAAGATACAAGAAGGACTTGGCCCGGGGGAAACACTTTGCAATTTCTGTATTAGAATTACAGTGCTCTTTCCAGTTACATGTAGAACTGGATGTCAGAGAAGAAGTTAAAAAGGAAAAAAAAAAAAAAAAAAAGCAGGAAAAATGCTAAGATAGGTTAATTCATTTCAACATCTTCATCAACACAGGTGCCAGTTGCTCTTTCAGCTGTGGATCAATCTGAATATTGCTCAGTTCTTTGATATTTAGGATCATCTCATGGGCTTGGAAAAAAAGCTCTTTCCCCACAGCATCCTCCACCCGCCTGCGCCATTCCCTCAGCCTGGGTCTGTCTTCAAAGATGTCACAACCAACTCCAACAGGCTGCAGAAAGGGGAGAGAGTAACAGTGAGGCTTGGGACAATCACTTCTTTCTGAAACAACAGGCACTAAAAGTGTACTTGCAGGTACAGGTAAAGGGGGAAAACCAGGAAAAGGTCATAGAGGAGCAGTAGGAAGGAGGGAAATCTCCTCTGGTCAGATGTACCTATCTGGGGGACACAAAAGCTAACCTGTATTTTACAGCTCAGTTCCTGGGTGCTGGAGTAGCTGTTTAGTGCAGCATAGATGACCACATTCTGTGAGTCATTTTCAGCCATGACACTGAAAATGTGGTGGGTTGGGGTTCCAGAGAGCACTGCCCAGTTTGCAATACAGAGTGCTGGGTTACACAGCAACACCCAGCACAGAACGTGAAGTGTTTGACTGAACCTGTGTCCTAGCTAACAAAATCCACCTCCCTTCTCCTTTCTGCCTGTGCCACTCTCTGAACACAATGTAGAGAAGCAGAACTGCTGATTTTCAGTCCCTTGGACACTCAACTGGGAGAAAGAAATCACTGCTGGGCTGCAGGATCCACCCTGGTGGTCTGGCAGGGAGCAACCAGTTTGTACCAGACTTAATTTGATTGCCTCTGTCTGAGATTAATTCTTTAATCTTCCAGACATGACATGGGCAAGTATTATATTCTTGAATGATAGAAGTATTCCTACATGGTTGTCTCATTTCATCAGACCTGTCTGCTATTGCTTCTCACTTATATATAATTACCTCCTTCTCTGGTGGTTAAAAATAAAGTCATGATAATAAATGAAGAAGAGGTTATTGCTAGAGATGAAAAACAAAAGAGATCTGTTGCAGCCAGCTTTTTTATTTTCGCTGCTGTTCTGAACCCACTCTCAGATTCTCCCCATTGTCTTAGGCCAGTTCTTCTGAGAGATGCCCTCGTTTCTCCTCCTAGTGAAGTGTTACCACATGCTGCACCCTCCCTGCTCAGCAGCATCTGTTTTCCCTTGTGCTGCTGCTTCCTCACCATGTTGCACCACTCACTTGCATCAGTTCCACAATGGCCACAAGATCTGCCAGGGAGATCTCACTCCCAATGATAAAAGCCTTGTCCTGCAGAAACCTCTCCTCAAATTGCTTCAGGGAAGTGGACAGCCCCTCCATAACCTCCTGGAGCTTCTCTGAGGGCAGTGGCTGCCCTGTGAAGAGGGGAATCAACACCTGAGGAGAGAAGGGACATAGCAGTATCTATGACCATCTTCTCTGGTAGTAGTTATTTAATTTACACCCCATGATCATCAGTGACCTGCAATAAAGCCACGGAAGGGGATGGCAGAGCTTCATGGGCTGTGGCAGCTCCCCAGAGCTCCTGTACAGAGAACACACCAGCAATCCTAAGTGGCTGACCTGCCAGGGCAGCGACCTTCAGCTAGTCAGCAGCAATGTGCAGAACAAAATCAAGGATCCTCATCTCATTTTGTGCCTGGCAGCTGTGCCCTCCCAATCCACCCTGCTGGGCTATGAAAGAAAAATGGGCAACAGCTCCAGGGAAGACAAATCTCTGCCACAGTCACCCTTGCTACATCCTCTGTGTCACCAGTAGCTGGCCAGCAGCTGCCCCTGCCAGGTGCCCTGCTGTGGAACTGGGGGCTGCTGGCAGCTGCCTGTCCCGCAGGGTGACCGAGAGGGGGAATGGTGGTGGCTGTGGCAGGAGCATTGGGGACTCATCATGCATCAGCACTGGCTTCCTCTGTGTGACAGCAGCCAGCAAGGCTGGAAGTGGTCAACACTATTTTTACACAAAACTTTCTGTGGCTCAAAGCATCGTTCTTAATTTCAATCTAATTTCAATAGAAGTTTTTCTGGAGCAATCACATAAGTGCAGTCCTTGTGTCTGCACAGACTTGCTGGCACAGGGAGTAGCTGCCTTTCCACAGTATTTTCATATCAGTCACAGAGGTGTCTGCACCTCTGGAGCCCACAGTGTTTCACAGCTGTGCTGCCTTCAACTTCCACAGCTAAAGAAGTACGGTTTAATTAGAGAATCAAAATTAAAGACACAAATTTCAATCAGTGCAAGTGGACTGAATTTCTACTTACTGCTAGTATGTTCAACAATTCAAGTTGGGATTGCTTAATCCAAGACAGGATTTTGGCCAAATACATGTGGAATCTATTTAATCAGAAGATTTCTGGCCAGTTCTCTTCCTAAGTGACTCCAATTATGCATGATGGGATCTTTGGGTAAAATCGCTTGAATCAGCATCTTCTTCCTTTTCCTTCTCTCAGGGCCATCTATCTTCTCCCATTTCTAGCTAATATGCTTCTCTTACATGGTGGCTTTATATGTTTCCATATTTACAGTTCTTCTGAGGACCTTTTCTGCATCTGGGCTATCTAATCATCAGCACCAGCAATTAGTTGGATTACTTTCCCTTGGAGCACTGCAGTGACAGCCTGCAGATGCTGGAAGAAACTGCTTTTTGTATGAATCTGACTCATATTTGAATTACTCTACAGCCAAAAAATCAAATATCATTAAATTCAAGAAGATAAACAAGTCCTGATATGCTTTGTTAGGCACAAACAAGGGCAAACTTTACAGTAGAGGGGTGAAGTTCTTATCTGTTTACTAGCAATCCTGATTTTATCTGAAATTCCATACCAGCTGTCCTCACAGAACTATGCTTGCACCTAGGTCTCTAGGGATAGTTGAATTAACTGCCTGGTGAGGAAATTGGTGTTTTGGTGAGGAAACTGTTGGCTGGAAATTGGTGTCCAGCAAAATCACCTGATACTAAATGATTTTCTGGCTCAGGATGAATCAGGTAATTTTGCCTAAATGTAAATTGGCCTGAGTACACTGAATAAAGAAAACCTGCCTCTCAGTGTCTCTCCTGTCTGTCCCTGAGGCTGTTTCAGAGAAGCACATAAGCGTGCTGGAAGCAGAAGACTCCTGGATTTCCACCCTAAGGAGGCTGCAAGGACTTGTATGAAGAATGTAAGTCTTTCTGCTTCCACCAACAAAACACATGCTCACCAAAGCCAAACTCTGCCTATGTGCACACTCTGCACAGCTGTGCAGGGAGGGGGAGGCCCTAGGAAACAATACTAAATCTGTGACATATTCTCTCACAAATCCAGGCAATGAAAGCCTGTTGGGTTTGAGACCTCCTGTACTTGACCTTCTTTAAGGGAAAAGCCAAAATGACCAAATCTGCTTTTGCCAAATCCTGATGTTGATCAGTTTGGAACAACTCCCTCTCCAACAGCTCCTTTAGCTAGGAATGGCCCAGGTTTATTGTTTCATCATGTCAAACTGTCTCTGAACTGGGGCTGTTAAAAAGTGCTCAGTATTCTCACAGGAAAACATCACTTGACTCACGTTTTTACATTCAGTCTCCTTACCTTGATCCACATGGTTTTAGGAGCGTTAGCCCTGATGTTGGTGTGGTGCCAGGAGAGGTACTCATCTACCCGGGCCCGTTTCTGTATGTCTGAGGGGTACCAGTGGTCAGGAGTGTTGTACTTTCGACTCAGGTACAGCAGAATGGCAGTGCTGCTCACGCATCAGCAGAGACAAGAAACGCGTCAGGCAGTTACGATGCACAATGCTTTTGCCTAAGCTCCCTCTCCTGCTCCTTCTCAACTTGTTGCTTCCACTAAAAAGCATTTAGATCAGGATTTCCAGTGGAGTCAGGAGTTCCAGTGCCACATAAAGGCATTTAATTAATGTTGAAATCAGTGGCTCTTAATCACCTCAGCTTCCAGGAAAACTTTAACCTGCTGGAAAATCACAGCGCTGTTCTATGGTGCTGCTGGACAGTATTGGGGTAAAGAAACAATAAACCTCCATGATCATCTATCAGTGATGACAGCTCCACTTGCTCCTTGCCTGTTCTGACCCATCTCTCTGAGACCTGTGCTCTTTCTGTGCCTGTGCACTAAATGAAACTCTCTGAAGTCAGTGGAAGTTTCAGCAAGAAAACCCTACAGAATCTTTTTTGTGTTTGTCCAGATGTTTATACTCTCACTAACTGGCAGAAGTCAGATGGAAAAAGATCTTAGTCATCTGCAACAATACTTACACTATTACTACAAAAAAAGATACCACAGAAAATGTGCTGACAAAATGGAAGAAAATGCAGACACCCTTACCATGCTGATACTGCTGTAGTTCAATTATTTCAGTATTATGACATCATTAACCAGTCTCCATATTAATCTTTTAAAGCCTAAATTTTATCTGTGTAGATGTTCTCTCAGCCTTTAATTCAGATAAACAGAATTCTTTCCTAGAGTAAAAGTGATTTCTTTTCCTAGGGTGAAAGGAATTTTTATAAGCTTTAAACATCTCCCAGAAATGTTTATAATCCCATTTTGAGGTAAGTGCATTCAGGGTGAGATGAAGAAGCTAAGTCAGCTGAGTTGTTTACATTCTGAAAGATAATTCAAACAGAAAGTGGAAAGAGATCAAATGAGGTTATACTATTAAAAATAACCAGCATGTTCATATATACTGTGATCCTTAATTATTCCATGGGAATGACATCATCTGAATGCAGCACTGATTGCTGGTACCCAAGGAAGTCTAAAGACTGAGCTCTTACCATTCTGCAAGGGTGAAGTCTCCGTCCTTTAGTGCTGGTACTTTCTTCAAGAGGCTGACTTTGCCTGCACCTTCACTATTTGATGGCCCTAAGAACATCCACAGACAAGTCTGAGGTCAGAAGTGTGTCTGGCAGAGCATGATAAATGAAATACCTGCAGCCAGCTGGATGATCAGTGAGCTGTGTGAGGTTTTCCCAATAGGTCACAGCTCACAAGTGAGAGGTAATGAAATGGCAGAGTCAGCGTAAGGGCTGTCTGCAGAGGGCACTCGGCTCAGCCTGGGCACGTGGCATGGAACAGTTTCTACTTCTAACACCAGTTCTCTTGCTTGACTCAGGTACCAGGATACTTGCAGAACTTATTGACAGAGTGGACATCAGCTAGGGCCAGGGAAGCTCAGACACCTCAACCCTGCACTACTCCTGACTCTGTGGTACTCCTGGCTCTGCACACCAACTACTTCTAACAGGAAAATACGGGAGGAAGACACCATTCTGTAAGAATTTAAACTCCACAGTCCTTGGAGGAATTAACAGCTGACTATCTAATCAGTCTTTCAGTTTCCCACTGCTGGCACCAGACTTGCCAATCTGCAGTTAAATGCCAGGGAATTGCACAACAGCCCAGGAACACCTGAGTGAGAAAAGCTGTGAGGAATTAGTTTGTTTTGCTTGTTTTAAGTGATCCTGGGAAGACATTAAAAGTAAAGTGCAAATCCTGATCAAATCAGCATGACCAGCAGGTGTTGTACAAAAATCCCTTTGTTCAAAAAAAGACAAGAAAAAGGATTATTAACTTACAGTGATCTCCATCCCTAAGAACTATTTGTTCCCATTGAGGAAGCAGTGGCAGTGTCTACATTGCTGTACAAATGTGAAGTAGGAAACAGTCTGTGGGAAATAAAACCAGCCTCTGGACAAACAAGTTTATTTGCAGCTGGTTTTGGAAGGGCTGGGAGAAGACAGGTTGCTGCATTACAATTACAGACTGCTTTTCCTTTTATCAATTTCACATAATGAGTTGAATCAAGCAGAGCATACATTACCACTTGTGCCTTGTTTCTTCTTTGAGAAGTGGTTTGTTTTTTTTTAAATTCCAGTGTAAGTAGCTTCATCAGAGACTAAGGTTTACATTCATCTGCTATTTGAAGAGATTCAAACCCACATTTTCCCTTTGGTTAGGAAAAGCCTCTGGCTACCTGCTGTGATGATGGCTTCCAGTTTAGCTGGGCAAGAGGTTCCATCTGCACAGCAGAACTGGGCAATGCTGTCAAGAGAGGTAGGAAGCCTAGGTAGAGCTTCTTAAAAATAACAGCCTAAGAGAAAGCACAAGTTAAGCCTAATAATTGAGAAAATTGAGTATAAAAATGTCCAAAAATCAAGCCAGCGGGCAAAGTACGGGGTGCCTCACCCCCATGGTTTGTATCACAGAAAAGCAAATGTTTGTAAATCTCCTGTCATGCAAGGAGTTGCTCAGGGAAGGTGCTTTGTTCTGTGCTTTTAGAAGGGCCCCCAAGGCCAGTGGTCACCACACACCCAGCTCTGGTGAGATCTGTGGTGTTCAGTTGGTCTTCAGAAAAATGCAGTAGAAAGTTGCCAGTCAGTAATGCTTACAGCTAATGAGCAGTCCCTTGGCAGAGCCAGCTGCTTGGTTGTCCTGCTTTCTGTGTTTATTATCCAGGGCAGCAGGAAACTAAGAAACAAGCACATGAGAAGTAAGCAGTGGGTGAGGGCAGCCTGAATCAGATTTCAGAGAGATTTCATCATACAGCAGTTCTAGCAGGAATACTGAGCATATTTATTGCCTGACAGGGCTAACAGGACATTACAGCAGGTTGGACAGTAGGTCAGTGTCTGTGACACAGCCTGTACCACAGCCTGGGGATGGCATCAGATACTTTGGTTTGTACATAGATATACAAATTGTATACAAGCTGAGACTGACTGATCTGTGAACCTCTAAATGCCTTGGTGTGAACACTAACTCCAGGCTGCTTTCATGTTTATTGCATGAAAATAGAGATAAACATTTGTATTTGCAATTTAGCAGAATTTAAGCTTGTGTCTCTCTTCCAGCCAGCAGAGCCACTCTTCTTGTTTAGTGGTATTGGGAGGCCCATCTTTATCATTCCTGTGATGTTGGCTTGACTTACAGTTGTTTAACATCAGTTGTATCTGAGGTAATTAGTTCTTGATGGCTCCCAAGGATGGATGGAGATATGGATAGATAGATACAGATGCACACACAGTGTGTGTTGTTGGGCTTTAACAAGCAGAGTATCCACAGTCAAAAAGCAGGGCAGGCTGTGACATGAGGAAATCTTAAACATAAATCATGCAGCAGAGGAGGGGGCTTACTGGTGGGTGAAAAGAGCAGTGGAGAAGATTTTATAGAAATAGAAGGGGGAAAATCCCACTGTATTTGCCAATCACATACCTGCCTGATCACCTAATCCTCAGCCAAGGATTTCCAAGTAACATGTTTTGCCTTAGGCAGAAAAGTAACAATTTACTAAGAAAATGCAACATTTAACTGGGCAACAGTCATACAGCTGGAGGAGCCTGAACAGCTGAGTGTTTCCGAAAAGTACAGCATTCCCAGAGCACTCCTCGGCCGTCAGTGTGACTAATTTGCTAGAAATGGCTAGAGGAACATTCCTCGGAGAGCCACAAAAATAGATGCAGCAGAGCTACGAGACTGCTCTGCGAACTGGAGCCGCACGGTCAGACCACTGCGTTCAATGCCCCTGGGCAGAGCAGGGATCAGCATCACTCGGTGACCCTGGCAGCTCGTCCTTCCCTCTCGCCGGGCTGAAGGACGCGCTGCTGTCCTGCGCCGGGAGGCGAAGGTTTTCCCCCGGCTCCGTGAGAGCAAAGCCCGGCCAGGTCCGGCGGGCTCAGCTCGGTCCCACGGGAGATCGCGTTACAGCGCCGAGCTGGCCCGTCCGTGCCTCCCCGCCCCTGGGCCACCGCCCGGGGACACGCTGGGCCTCTGGGGACCCTCCCGTCCCCTGCCCTGCCCTCACCTGCGCGGGGCTGCTCCGA